GCTTACAAGCGTGCTCCAGAGGGCTCGATCAAAAGATGGTATACAGCTGGCTGAAATCGAAGGGAGCTCCCATACCGAACTGAGATCCTTATGTATTTTGACTAGGTAGCATCAATGACTGGCATCATGAGCATCGTTGTTTTTCTGCTCAGGCTAAAATTCTTGTCTGGTGCCAAATCGTGATTGCAGGTATCATGGTCTCGCGTTTTGCCCCACGCACAACAGGAATCAGTGGATGAGAAGAGAAAGTATTTGAGAAGCATTGTGCAACGGTCAATGCTGTGGTGCTGACGAGAACCGCAATGTACAGAATCGAGACGTCCGAGCGTCACGAAGTCGAACATCGAACATCAAGAGGAGATCGATATCGATAGGTCTGACCACATGCCATACTTTGTTATCTCCAAGGACGGACTGCTAGAGGCATAGAATGAGGTTGCAGACAAGACTCTAGTTGCTACAGTTCTGCATCGCAGTCTCACGTCCATGGGCATTAACCCAAAGGGGATGGAAGAATCAGAGCTATGAAAGGCTGAGATCGGAGAGCGCCAGATGGCGCGGAGCGCTGGTAAGAGTTGAGGTATCACTTAGCAGTGTAATGTGACATTACATCTCAGACCCGGAAGCTGATGAACAGTCAGTCGAATTCTCTCTCATCAAACTTGGTGATAGTTCAATAGCATGATATCTCAAGCAAAAATAGCCAAAGTCAGCAATACTATCACTAATGCCTAGACCGATTCCTCGGAAGCTGAGTTTGGCACAAATCTCACATCCTAGGATGAGCCTTTCACATTCAAAAAGACCTGCGCAAGATCTTCCTTCATACGACCTTCGGGCAGAAAATCGAGATACCACTAGTAACCTGGCTAAGCTGCGACCATGATCTCATGCGTGATGCCTGAAACGACGTTGAGAATCTTGCTCTGTCTGGGTCGTAGGAGCTTTCGTTGTAGATGACCCAATAATTGTGTTGCTTTGGCCAGCCCAAGTTTGTGTCTTATGACAAGGAAACATGTATGCCGCTACGAACGAGCTGATATTCTTGCTGCGATCCTCAGCGCGAAGCTGGTGCAGAACTTCCATGAGCTTTTCATAGTCCCTAGAACTGAAGACACGATGTAGTCGAATGTTAGTGGATTGTGGCCCAGCTTCAAAATGGTGAGACACTCGCTCAGCCTGTCACTTTGCATGACTTGTGATACAGAGTGTTCTTTAAGACCTTCGTGGTACCCTTCTTCGGTACACATGAGCCGAGCCATGGCTTCACAGGTACAGCCGACACGTCCTATGCGGTGTAGAAGGCTGGCTTTGCTGACGGTCTGCTCAATCGGTTTTCAAGATCCAGTTGACGGACATCATATCTCGATCTTCGATCTGCAGCTGTCAATGACATGGGCAATCCTTTACATTGTGAGAGATGTTTCGGAAGTGTTTGTTCTGACAATGGCCTTGTGTCCNATGCTTGCCATCGAAGAATGAAGGCGGAATACCGACTCAACTCTTGGAGATTTCGCTTTGCCGCAACATTTGTGTATGGTGCCCAAAAGGATGGTGTCAACGATTTTGGCGATAGGAGCCGATGGAGGCTGTTCCAGACAGTCGACGGTGACCTTATGCTATGGACCGCTGACTACCTTTAGCACACAAAAGAAAGGGAGTTGGGTAAGNAGGACAGGGTCGATGATGGCGGACATGACGACGAGTCTTAGATCGGCTCTTGCTTTCAAGTGTCGTTCGACGTGGCCAAGCAGTATTTCAGCNTGGCGGTAGTGTTCGTATACTTCATCGATGATGACAAGGGCGAAGTCGCTCATCATAGGATCGGATCTTATCATCGCCACAGTTGAGCCGTCTGTCTTGACCTCGAGAAAGGTCCTGTCGGTTGTAGAATCGTGGTCTTGATGTTTCAGACCAGAGACAGTACCCAGTCCTACATCCATCTTTTGTGCGATGCGCCTCATAATCTTCTCTGTTAGCAATGCTTAGAGACCGTTTGTTAGATGTGAGTCACGTACTGATTAGACCGCGGATCTGCGTAGTTACGTGAGGTAAACCTTTCTCCCAAGCATGTCGGACCACGACTTTAAGATGTGTCTGGATACTTAGGCCGAACTTCTAGAGCCCATCTCNTCGCCGAGAATGATTGTGGTTTATTTATTGCGCACGGCGTCCAGTCGCTGAGACATATGCTGAGGGACCGGCAGGGTTCGAGCTTGCATGCGCATAACATGATAGGCGGCGCTGTAGGGCTTGTCAGTATGAGGATCAAGTGAAGCCATGTTGGAGATGACGAGGATGATCTCAAGAGTGCTAAGGAAGCAGCATTTGGAAGTGTGAGCAAAAATATGAGGATATGTTTGTGTGGGTCGCGTGCGTCTTCAGCCACAAGTGACAGCCGGTCAAAAGAATTGATGGTGTTTGTGTTTGTCGGTTTACGTCGGCAAGGTCTAGTCGAGCAGACACAGAAGTAGCGAGTGGAAGGCGCCTGCCGAGCTCCTGGATCTCAACATTCCTAGCGCGTCAATTGTTCGAACACCACAACAGCAAGACGCTCTCCCACTACTCTACTGATTGTAAGGAGCTCTAGGAGTATAACTCCTGGCGGACCGGCTATGTTTCTTGCAAAAATGCGAGACTGTGCGCTTGTGTGTGGAGGTGATCGTGGGAAATCACAGAAACCGCTCTGTATCAACGGACAGCGGACGAACGGCCGATACGATCAATCACTTCATTGCGTCTTGCGTCTACTCTCTGGGACATGTCTAGTGCGAAATTTACTCAAGATTGACTTTAGTCCAACGCTCTATGTGTGAGAGGTAGATGAATCCTCGATAACCTCGCGCCTATCGAGTGGCAACATAACTTCGCGGTTATCAAGTGGCAATACAACTTCACTGCCAACCTCTCTAAGTCCGCTATCTGCAAAAAGCATGGCAAGATTCGAATGATTGGCAACACCAGGCTGGACGTCAATAACCCTTCGAGAGAAACCTCTACCGTGCTCTCTACCACACACTCATTTCTGGCGACGATCTCAGCATTTCCACGTCTGGAACAAATATTACCTATAGTGGTTGAAAGGGTTTACAGCCACCAAATTCCCATGGTAATGCTCACGTGCACAAAACACGAGGCTGCGAATGCTACTCTGTTCAACGGCATGGCTGCCTACGAGCGAGACTTCACCTATGTTCGCTTCAATATCACCATTGGATATCGTGCGAAATTCCAGCTTACAGCTCCGTGTGACGGCGCCGGATAACCCAACCTCAACTGCGCTGCTCAAGATCACAACAGAGATTTACTGGACCTCACTTTCTAGATGTCCTCAACTAGGCGCGGAAAAGCTGTATCAAAGTGGTTTGTTGCAGGTTCATTGATCAGCATGGCAGCGTCAAGGCGATTGGAATAGTGAAGATTGTTGTTTCTTGAAGATAAAAAGCTGATCCGGATATCCTTCAGCTTATAGCGCCTTTACTGATTCAGATGAAACCCATCGGAGACGAGATGAGGTGGCTGATAGGACTGACTCAGGAACAAGAAGGCTTTCCAAAGTCTAGAGCCCCTTTCAAGCTTCTGAAAGGGGCTTTCAAATCCCCGAAAGGGTAGCGGCCATTCTATAGCGTTAGAAACGCAGTGACTCGCCATGCCATGCCTGCCTATCGGTCTGGAGGAAGTCTTGAAAGGCACCAAGAAGCAGGCCCACCACACCTTCGCAGAGCCTTTTATAAACTCAATAACTCGACTCATGCTGAATGCTGCCTCGTCGACCGAATGCCTTGTTAGAAGAATTGAGGTCGGCACAGATTCAGTGAAAGAACGGCCGCGTGGCAGTGGGTGGAGGAACGAAAGCGAGTACGTTCGGCAACCGAGAAGACCCGCTCATATGCATGGCGAAGGATTTCACATCGATATCAAATGGCACAGAACTGACGGTCGCTGGTCGTGGGTCGTGGGTCGTGGCCGCAGTCAGAAGCGCAGGACGGGGCTGCAGTGAAGAGCTGCCCAGCCCAGAACTAGGGTTGGAACAGTCTAGCGCTTCAAGGCCACTGAAGGATCTTCTGGAGAGTGGCTTCCGTGCAGCGGTATCCAACGTTCAGCTCAGCTCTTACAGAGGCGCGGCCGAGCTTGGAGTGACAGACTATCGAAATTTGCTTCTTGTAAGAGATTCAGACGACTTTCCACGAGCGATCTTTCTATGATATAAAAAACCCAGGATTGAACCTCTGCAGCAACCGTGATGATCTGACTCAAGAGGCCTCCTGTGGCAGAGACGGCACTCTCCCAACTTGGATTGTCGTGATGGGTGAATTGTGTCTGAGCATCGGTCTCGCAGCCGGATGCTTCGTTTCTGCTCCACGTGATTGATCGATCACCGGGCAATGGACATTCGCTAAGAGATCGAGCCTTGGGCTAGGCGGAGTGTGGCGTTAGGATTCAGCCTGCTGTCACGTGCGTCACGTCCCTCCAATTTGCCAAGGAGACGCGCTTGGCTATCCGGAGCTCCGACGTTCTAGAATTTCTTCTGGCTTGCGCTTTGAGCCGGGCTTAGGCCGCATACCCTTCACCTTTGCGGCTCCCGCCATGCGAAAGCAACTGCTCGCTACCACATATGCACCCCTGCAAATCGTCTTTCCTTAGTGCTATTGGACAAACAGTCTTTAGCTTTCCTGGCGTGGTGTGCACTTTCCAGATGCGTCTTTCTTGGTTCACGCATCTGCGGCAAGAGCTTCTGCGCAAACAACAACTATGACTACTGCTCAGCTTTACGGATGGGAAAAGTGCACCCAACCACGCTCGATGGAGAGCCGTCCAACATACCGAAGAAGGAGGTGGCGTATGCTCTGGATCCAAGCACTCAGCTTGTAGAATTGATATGCAGAGCTCTTGCTGGCTATATATACCACGAGGTAGTTCTATAGATCAGTACGTCAACAAGTCGCATCTACTTCTTTCTCCTAGATCAACTTCGGGACCTGGCGCAGATCATCACAAACATGCGTCCTGCAATCCTTGTCGCGGCTTACGCTGCTTATGCTTCTGCTCAAAACCTCGATGTCGATGCCATTGCCGAAGCCGACCCCATCCCGACACCTGACATTCCTGTCGTCTACTCGACCAGCTTCGACTATGCTCTGCCATCTGCCACAGTCATTGCAGAAAGTGTTGCCTACGACGCGTCTGCCGCCGCAGCTTCCGTTTCTGCCGAAGTCGCTGCCGATGTGGTTGACGCACAATCCACTGACTCTGTCACGAAGCGCGATACCACGACATCATGCACTGCTCTGAAGGCCCTGGCCCAAGGTGATGGCACTTACATCTCGCCTGCTGGTACCAAGTACACTGTCCAGTGCGGTACTGACTTCAGCGGATACGACCTTGCCGCCGTGTCTGGCTCTTCGTTCGCCAATTGCTATGTGCAATGCGATGGCTACCCAGGATGTGTCAGCTTCTCTTTTGTTGGCGGCTCTGGCTCTGGCACATGCTACTTGAAGCGAAGAGGTGCCGCTGCCAGCGTCAACGCTGGAGTGGATGGAGGAGCTCTTTATCCCATGCCCACTCTCGCACCCAATCTCTGTGTTGCACAGCCTACAGGCATTGCTTACAAGTCTTCCCCCGACACACCTGATGCTTTCCTCGCCGACCCCTACTACTCGTCGGTTGCCAACTCGGCAGCGGCGGCTCCTACAGGCTACTCCACCAGCTTCACCAACCTGACCGCCTCTAACAACGCACTCGGCTACCTCGGCTACAGTCTGATGAACACTTACGATCCCAGCGTGTGCGCATCCCGCTGCGACAAGATCGACGGGTGCCAAAGCATAAACGTCTACTTCGAGAGAGATCCCTCAGTTGACCCCAATGACAGCTCTTGCTCCAACCCCACTTCTTACACGCAGATCAAGTGCGTCTATTGGGGAGGACCCGTCACTGCCAGCAACGCCGTCAATAACGGCCAGTGGCGCAACAATTTCCGTGTAGTCATCGCAGGCAGCAATGGATACAGCAACAAGTCCATCGACACTCCCGCCGGTTACACCGCTCCAAGCTACCTCGGCAATGCTGCCATCAACGCACCTCCCACTGACTGTGCGGGCTACAACAATTCACTCGCAGGATATTTGTGGACTTCGGGCCCCTTCAATGATGGACTTTGCGCAACCGCCTGCTCTGCCTACAGCGCTGCTTCGCTAGCCAACGCTGCTGCCAACGGTGGTATTGCTCAGACTTGCCAGTTCTTCAACACGTACGTCCTAAAGGCCGACGGCAAGGACGCCGGACAGTACTGCGCTCTGTATCAGCAGAGCTTCTCCTCGTCCTCGGGCACAAGTTCCAAGACTACCCTGAACGGCATCACCTACACATTCGGCTATTCGTACACCTCGACCAATGCGACCAGCTCTGGCGGTCCCGCCATCGATTGCCAAGTCGCTTCCGCTTCTCGCATCATCGGGTCGTCGACCTTGCAGCCCTTCTGCTCCACCTTCCTCGGCTTCGACCCAGCCACTACCACCATAACTGTCACGACAACTCCTTCAACCACCACCACCGTTACCACCAACTCAGCCGCCGTCAAGGTCACTACAACCATCACCAGCACCGTCACTTCTCTCGTCGCCACTTCCACCGTCATTCCCCAGAAGCGTGCAGCCGATGTCCAGACTCCCCCTGCCTTGGGCTTATTTTCCGCTTCTATCATCTCCTCTGCTTGCGCACTCCAAGCAACCAGGGCGTCCAGCACCATCTCCAGTACTTCCACTGCAACAGCCTCTGTCGTGACTCTGACAAGCACCGTCGTCGGAAATGCTCCTACCAGCACCCTCACAGTGACCGTGACGACCACCGTCGAGGCCACAGCAGTCGCCACTCCCTACGGCTGTAGCAATCCCGGCGCCTGCAGCAAAAACACACTCAAGTCTTTCACCTGCGGCAACAATCAGTGCGCTTGCGGTAAGACCAAGAACGGCGACAACGTCTGCTTCACCGTGTCCAAGTGTACCAAGACCTGTGATCCTGATACGAAAGGCAACAATGAATGCGATTCTGGCGAAGTTTGCGTATACGATGTGTGCTGCAACAATTCGAGTCAGACCTCTGGCAGAGGTGTTTGCCAACCTCTGGCTACCGCATGTGCCAACCCTTCGTCCGCGCACCGTTTGTTCAGGCGTGGCGAGATGAAGTTCGGTGAGAAGGTCAAGAGACAGGATGATGCTGAAGAATGCAATGCCTTGTCGTGCCCTGGTACTTGGGTTGATGAGACTACTGGCGATGTCATCCAAGGCCAGGCTGGCCAAGTATAGATACTATGTAATGCAGATTAGATTTTTACATTATGATCACGAAATATGGTATCTTTGCTACAGTGTTTGGTCGTCCTTCTCGATGCTTTCCATCATCTCCGTTGCCTCCTCCTGTAACACCAAGAATCTCTATATCCTGATACATAAGATGTCCTTACTTCAACTCAAAGACTCCCCGAATCCTATAAAGTGGGTTAGCTCAGCATGCCCACGTAGTCGAGTAAACACAAATTGAGTTACAATGGATTTAACGGAGCGAAGTATTCATCATTAGCATTGTTAACTAAAGTAACTAGTATCTAGCTAGATGAGGCCCCTAAGAAGGAAAGTATATCTAAGATAAATCTCTTTTAAGAAAGACTAATCCTGTTAAGGTGATAGGCGCGCTTTAGGTATTCTAAAGCACTACCAATTTTATTAACATGCCTTTCTTCTAGAAGTAGAGCTTATTAAGAAAGTAGTATATCCTTAGTTTTCCTATTTCTTAAACTTGCTATCTATAGTTTAAAACCTTTAATGTTAAGAAATTTGTCCTATAGAGCGGAATACGTATCGGCGCATATAAGAGAATCCACGCTCTATAGAATACTCGTTAGAAAACAGAACTCTCATCTATTAAGAAAGAGGCCAGTTTAGAAGCCGTTCGGCAAAGTGATACCGTTTATAGGCATTTTCCTTTATAAGGAGTGGTCGCTTCTTTATAAGCCATTGTTTAATGCCGAAGGGCTTAAGCATTCGCCGGAAAGTTGATCTACTCTATATAAAGCCATACCACTTTTAAAAGCTTATTATACGATTAGAAGGGTGTCTTTTAACAGCAATTTCGACATAACGTTAATCGCGAGGGGTATAGGTAGGCGAACGGCCGGTTCGAGACAATTTAGTGCCTTTGTTATAAGTTAAGGCTCTACGGGCTATACGAGAGATGGTTAAGAGAGCGCGTTTAGACTAATCGGAAATCGACTCGAACGTACGGCTGCCTTAATAGGCCTGTACGATCCGTCCGCGCTCGTATGGAGTTAGATCTAGACCTCGTGCGCGAGATCTAGCTACGCGCGAGCGCTTAATAGTTAGCGCCATGTTGTTATGTTAATGCGAAGAAGAAGGGTGAGATTCGACGATGTGTAGCACATTAAGTGGTTTACGAAACTTCTAACGCCCCACTATATTAGTTAGGCAATGCTTTAGCTCTTATTCCTTTCGCTTTAGATAGCATGTATCGGCCGCACGTTAGAGAGTAGACCGTGGTCTCCTATAACATTCCACTATCTCTATTACTTCTAAGATCTCTTATTACGGACGTTATACATTATGTAACGGTTAATAAGGTTTATAAAGCAAACAAGTAGATTAATTAAAAATGATACGCGGATAAGCGTTTCCTTTAGCTTTAGAAGAAAGGCTAAGATAACGACAGTTATAATGGCGAGTACATTTAGAATCGTAAGAGCTAGTAATGGTAAGTAAACGATCATAGGGTTAAAAGAAGGAACGTACTATCGTTATATAAGAATGACTAAGATCTAGTGATTTCTAAGTGCATCGGAGATATATCTGCTATAGATAGATACAATGCATTATACATTATAACGACTGCGAGTGGACCACTAAGGTCTGTAATGATAGCAGAAAACGAGAAATCTAGGGAAGCAACTACAAAAAAGGAAAAGGAAAGTGACAGGTAGAGAGGGGGTTATGAACGGGTCGTTATGTAGTGATGACCCATGAAAACTTTGTGATTTGTACTTGTATGACATCAGTAGCTCAACATCGGGATCCTTTCCGCAGATTATTCCGTTTTAGGTAGAGGCTTACGTCATGCAAAAACATGTCTAAGCTTACGATAACGGGCTATCTTGGGTAAGATCACAGGTTACGAAGTTAGACTCGTAGAGAGGAGTATGGATTAATTGGTATAAGTAGTAGTGTAGACCAAAGGAACTGTTAATATCACTATATAAGTTGAACGTAGAGTGCCCTAGCGAATTCCTACCTACCTATATGTTCAATAGATGATGAGTGTGTATGTACGTCGCTCTTTGAAGATGTCAGCTCTTGGCGGGATTGCACTACGAGCCTTTAAAGGGTCTCACTACGGATCCTCGAAGCCGAAGCGAACCTATAGCCGGTCGAAGAGAGGCTTACAAGAATAATTGCGCTACATTCAGCCAGTGTAGTGTTACCCTTGGACAACAGAGCGTTTCGACACGATATTAAAGACATATAATAGCTCAAGACCAGTCTTTGTCCGAGGAGTAAAGTGCCATGAAAGAGGGTCGCTAAGTGGATGTCCTTGCACAATGTTATCGTACCTCTTTGCTAGCGGGGTCATCACTAGGTATGGCAGGAAGGAAACCGTAGGCGTCCTATGATAGTAGATGCTCGTAGGACACCATATTGAATCAATCGCAATGTCGAATCACTCTAGTGAAGTCGCATCATGGAATGTAGATGCGCTTGAGACTGATTCCTGAACTACTCTAAGATGCCTGTGATCGATCTGAGGTGGCGTTCTTGGAGCACCATGCTTCGAATCGATACCCAATCATTACATAAGCTGATCGTTCGTACCCTCTGAATATCAACTTTCATCTGCAGCAGAGCTTACTATCGTCTGCTTCCATGTCACCGTCTGAGGTGTCAACAAAGAAGAACAAGCCACGACACTCCTGGTCCCTCCACCCTTCTCGCCATAGAGATGTGTTGCGTTTGTTACAGGACAGTGGCCTCTCTTTCGATTTTCACAACGTCGATGACCCTTCCGACAGCACTAGAGAACATGACACCGACGTCATGGGCCGATTTTCTTGCTGGAATACTAGATGTCTTTTAAAGGCATAGTCGAGCAAGACGGTACCGGTGACAATGCGATTGTATCCTGATCGCCGATACAATGTCACAGTCTACCACCAGCGATGTCAAGAGTGTGGAAGATGAGTCGGCCGAGACTGAACGGCCCATAGTAAGGTCGGCACCATAAGCGTGTAACGTCCGACCATCTAGAGACCACCGTACGGTGCCAGGTGGCCCTCACGCTTCGCTATAGCACGACCGTGCTGTAACCGTTCTATCAGGTAGCCGATAGGAGACACGCTGCCCCGCTGTAAGTAGAGTGGACGTACGTCACAACAAAGTCTTTGGCCGAAGTCAGAGTATGAGTCTCTTGCCGGGATCTTGGTCTCTAAGAGCAGATACGGCTGGAGGGGCAACGCGTACTCTAGCAGTAGAAGACGTCCTATCCATATGCGTGCTGAGAGGTTGGTCGTATAGTTATAGGGCTTCCGAAACGCAAGCGTGGTTGGGTCGATGCCTAGCACACCAGAGAAGTTTGCGATGGGCGTGCGCTCAAGGTTACCGTCCTTCGGTCTGTCGGTCCAGAAAGTGAGAAACAACTCAAAGAGTGATTCTAGCAACCTAGCTATCGTGTCTTTGGGTCCGATCAGCTTGCGCTCGGTCGTCGTGAACTGAGTTTCCAAAGCGAGAGACCAGACCCGATTCATTGCAGACTCTTGCGTACAGGTAAGATGTAGAGATGAAAGCTCTCCAGGTTGTTCGTAAAGACGCCTTTCTAGAGCACGAACACGATACACGTAGCTTATGAAACGACACCATGACTGCTTATAGCGACTCTCCGCTGCAGCTTGAGGGATTTTGAAGTCATAGGGCTGGTAAGCATGAGACCAGCTCTTCAGCCAACAACGCAGGGTGCGCGGTGTTGCCTTCAAAGTGCGCTCACAACGATCGAGCACATGACGGGTGGCCACACATATGATAGCTAGTGTCCGTTCATCTGCTGCCTCGCTGACACAGTCAAGACCGCACCAGCTGCCAATATGCAGCGTTTCAGCAGGAAGAGTCATTCTTGGCAGTTTGGAGACGCTTATAATCGCACGAAGCGGCTTGTTGGTGAACCAATCCTGCCAGTTGCATCCACGTAGCCAATCGCTCCTGGTATCATGTTCTGGGCTCTCACCAAGGTCGGGAGCCCCTTTGTCATACTCTTCCGCAGGCCGGCGCTCTTCTTCAGGTTCCACAACGGCCAAGTCGTGAGCAAGCTGGCCCTCAATGTCTTGCGCTGTTGCTGCTGTTGTGATGTTATTGTTAACATCTGACTGCATCTGAGAATCTGACACGGCTGCGGCATCCACTTTCCAGTAACCAGGATCCTTGCTACGCCGGTCGGTCCAGCGTTGTAGGAAACAAGATTGAGAGGATGAGGTATAAGTCGAGCCACAACGAACACCGTGTTGTTTGCTAATATGTTTCCGCAAGCAGGGATAGTATATTGTCTTATATGACGGACAGAGCGGACAGAAAAATCCCCGTAAGGGAGCGACGAGACATTCTAGAGGCGGCACACCATCAGGACGAGGTCTAAGCTCATCTAGGGATTGAGGCATGGTATGGGATTGTAACCGCTTGACTACAGCGCGTCTGACTGAGACATGACAGCCTCCATGCCTAGCATAAAGGTGATAGTCAATATCATTGAAGCAGACAGCAACTCGGCAAGTGGTGCATACAGCGACCTTGAGCTGAGGAAGGTATTAGATAATATCAAAGAGCTCGACACTGCTTCTTGTTGCCATATCCGGAGTTTCAGAGCGAGCGGACTCATCGGAACAAGTCTGTAAGCGACCAACGAAAGAATTATGCAAGAGAAGCGGTGTTAAATTGTCCACGGCGGGATGACTTTGGGTTGGAAGCCGAAACGTAAGGTACATCCTGCAGTAGTATTCAGGCGGAACGTGGTTTTCTGGTGGACCAATTCTGCTAAGCGACAACAGAAGAGATATGCTCTTGTAAAAGGTTTGATGGGGAGAAACAAAGACAGATGAGAGAAACAGTCTTTGAAACTTACCTCCGGAAGGCGCGAACGCGCATCGAAGTTATAGACGCGTTCGATCCGCGCAGCACTTTAAGTTGTAATATGCACATTTGGTGATCATCTGTCGTAGGGCAACGCGTTGCTTTGATGTTTCGATTATATGATTTTAGAGTAAAACCCCAAGGCCTCGAACGGGACGTAGAATGGATTACGAAGACTGAGAGGTGGGCGAGAGAAAGCGGAGCGACGTTCGAACCGTCAAAGACAGGCCTCATCCACTTCACCCGAAGAATAGAAGAGGGCCAGCAAAATGGACCGGACTTGCAGTTCCAAGGACAAGACATCAAACCAAGCGAGCACATCAAGTTGTTAGGGGTCACCCTAGACAGCAAGATGAAATTCCATCAGCATGTAGCAAGGATGACGGCTAAAGCTATGAAGCAGTGCCTTGCTATCAAACGACTACGGGGAGTTAGGCCCAAACAAGTCAGACAGCTGTACAATGCGACGGTCACCCCGATCATGGACTACTGCGCTTCCGCATGGTACGGACCTGAGAAGTGGGGAACAACTTCGCTGCTCCGCGATATGGAAAAGGTGCAGCGCATTGGAGCCTAGGCGATAATACTCTCGTTTAAGGCTACAGCCCTAGCAGTAGCCCAAGCCGAAGCGGGCATTGAAACCACAGTCGACCGGCTACAAAGGAAGGTTTCTAACCATTTGGTTAGGAGCCTCACAGTACCAAACACGAATCCTTTATTTGACTGCCTAACTAGGCTATTCACCCAAGGCAAGAGTTTCCCGTCTCCGCTAGCTATCACCGCGCGGAAGTTTGGCCCGGATCTTGGCCTAACGGCCGAGAGCCTAATGGAGACCGTAGAGCCAGTGCTTCAAGAACCTTGGACAGAGGGCGTCCTAGGGTGCCTAGTCAAGGGGCTAGAAGACGAGGCGGATGTAGTCATTCGACAACTACGGTCGAAAGCAGGCAGGGAAGAGAGATGCACATTCTATACTGACGCAGCACGGAAGAGCGGCGAGAGTGGCATTGCAGTAGTGCAAGGGAACACTGGGAAGACTATCACCCAAAAGCGACTTCCTAGATGGGCAGCAGGCGACTCGACGGTTGCAGAACTTATAGCCATCGAGGCAGCGCTAGCATATCAAACGAGGAGAAGGCCACGCCCGATAAAGACGATCATCGCGACAGATAGCAAGCAAGCTATCCGACATATCACGGAGGGCAAGCNNCCACACGGACAATACGTGGTACGATACATCCGTAAGCACATCGATGCTCTTCAGGCCCGGGAAGGGGCAACGGTCACCTTACAGTGGGTACCGGCCCATAAGGGGTGGTACGGCAACGAGTGGGCAGACAAGAAGGCGAAAAAGGCACTAGAGGAGGGACGGGGAGGGGGGAAGGCCCTGCTACGCAACCCGCAGGTCCTACTAACCCCCTAGCCTCTTTAGATCTTTGGACATCTACGGACCCCCCAACACCTACTAACCCCCTAACGCCTCCGGACGCACGCGACCGTAGCATGGCAAAGTCGAGAATATACCAACAACGCTACACAGGAGTTACGAAGAAGATGGTCTTAAGGGTGGCTAAGAAGACACTCCAAAAGAAGCTAGACGAGACCTGGAAACAGGCTAGGAATACAAGGCCTCAAGACACGCTACACACTGGATCATACACGTGGAAGCTAGACGGAGCCCTTCCAGGCTTCCATATAGCGATAGTGTATAATGCATTGTCCGCGGAGGAGGCGTCGATACTCGCCCAATGCCGGACAGGGCACTCCCGACTAAAGAGTGACCTATGCCGGATGAAACTGGTGGACTCAGCAAGGTGCGAATGCGGAGCCACGCGAGAAAGTGTTGAGCACGTCATATACGAATGCCCCCTCCTACGCGAAGATCGTCAAATTGCTATCGAGGCAGTAGGGCACAGGTGGAGGGACCTTTCTTACATACTCGGGGGCTGGAATCCCTGGGAAGACCCGAGAACTGGGCGACCAGTCGACGGGCCGAAGGAAAATGGAAAGCGAACCTCCCGGCGGTGAAGGCGGTCCTCCATTTTCTTCACAAGTCCGGCAGGTTTGCGTGGCAGACGAGAGCTGTCGAGTAAGGGGAAGCTAGAATGGAACAAGGACAGATAGGGACACAAAGGTGAAACTAGTAGGAGACGGCTAACAGGTTTGCCGTAGAACCAAGTAGCCTAATCAATTAAATCAATCAATCAATCAATCAATTATGGGTAGAATCCACCTCCTCGCCAGCTCGTCCTGCCCTACCGGATTCCTGAGCGTAATCGATCATTCCGTACGGTAGATCCATGTGTAGAATAAAGACGATTCCGGGAAAGTCGACTCCAGTACCGAGTGCGGACGTAGCCACGATCAATCCTCCTGTCTCCATCCAGACGGCGAGTTTTTCTTCGTTGTCAATCGAACCTCCGTGATAGTAAGCACAGCCGAGCTCTTTTGCCATTTCTTTACACTGATCAATACTGCGGCAGTAAACAACACCCTTGTTGCGACCTATGTGTTTCTGCATGCGTTTGCAGACGTCTCTTGTCGTTTCTTCCAGCTTGTCTCGCTTGCATACTTCCACGACATAGCGTGTTCGCGGCCGAGTTGTCACAGCACGGATGTACCGGGCGACTGCCTGACAAGCCATGCTGATTTCTAGTTCGAACGCTAACATCGGGGGTAGAGTTACAGTAAGCATAATAAGCGGCACTCGCAAGCCTCGTACAGAACGCACTGCTACGAGTTTCGGTCGCCAGTCGCTTGCAGTGAATGTTAGATGACATTCATCCACAAACACACGCCGAAGCAAGAATGTCGGCGTACCGCGTGAACTTGTTGACCACATCGACTCGTACACCGACAACTGGCCGATGGGCTTGGAAGAAGCAATAAAGACTAGAAAACAGATGGCAAAAGAACAAAAGGATCACGAACGGGACATAATGAACCGGCCCGCCGATTTATATGACTTCAACTTAGACGACTTCAGTCGGAGAGAGTGGCCTAGTTTACCTTCCATGGAACTTGGGAGTTCATAGCTGATCAGGCCTTTTCCTCAAATTCAAACGCGGACTCCAAGTCTCAATTCTGCAAGTCTGGCGTTGGTGGAAGAGATGATAATTTGTGCAGAGCGGTGAGATGCTCGAGCAGATCATTCTAACCGACCACTAACCACGCAGTATCCTACGCAAGGTACTCGTATCGTAAGCTTGGAATCTCAGACATGATGACGTTGTTTTGCGTTATCGGCTCCGAGCCATGAAATTGTTTCTTCACCACTTGAAATTTTCTCTTCCTCTGCTCCGGCCACTCATGGTGACACGGGGACTATGGCACTGGTTCTACTATAACATTAAAGCCACACTTCCCACAGACTATATGGGGGAACAGAATCGCAAAGCGGTGTGGTGTTTATCGTGAGCAAGCCCTGACGATATTCTGTAGCTCAATAACTCAGGTCTCAAATGTGGACCACAAAGACTTCACAGTATCCTTGGCCATGCCGCGACGGGAGGCCGCACGAGTAGCGAAACCATCTGGATCAGAGCGGTCTTCTCTTCCTCCTAGCACGAAACCCATAGCATCAATCAATGCCGACGAAGGGTCCTCGATGATACTCGCAACGGAGAGTGCGGCATTACCAGCCTCGCCAATCGAATCGATGATTCGGACAAGGGCGGTCACTCTATCGGCCAGATCTACAAATTCACCGATAAGTGGAACAAAGAAGTGGGCGGCACCCACTACATCCAGAATGAGATCCATCTTCCCTTCGGCTTTGGCCTCTTCGCCCACATCCTTGACTCGGCTGTGCCAAGAGGAAGACAGGAGTGGAGATAACTTGAACCACGTCGTTATTTCGTCCCAGCCATTGGAATGTTTAGGTGTCGAGATTCTGACTTCGATGGTCATTCGTAGAGATGGAACGTTTGACTTAGCTTTGGCGACAATGTCCTCGGGGTTAAGCACCGTGATATCCTTCGCAGCTTGAGGAATACCGATGAATGTGTGTTCGTATCGGCCACCAGCAATACCATCAAGGTACTGATCTACCTCCGTTCCACACTTAGGGCAAACCGGCTGGATATCGTAGTCTTTCGGGAGGGTGCTGTAGAAATCATCAGAGTCCTCCAGCGTGTAATACATGGTGTCATACTGATCATCCAAGCTTTCTGGTTTCCTGTATGGCGCATTGACATTCCAAGTACAGGTGAAATACTGATTGCCTGGACCGTTTGCGTTATTCATAAAGTCAGCCTACGGTTTGAGAAACGCCTTTCTGATAAGCTTTGAAATTGGTGTCGAATTCATCTTTCACATTGTCTCGACTCACAGTGATGTCACTGAGGAGACCCGAGAGGAGAAGCGATCCCAGACAGTATGACTAAATACCGCTCGTCACATCCTGAGGAACGTCCAGCGGACATTGAAGAAACTCAGTCCAGACTTCAGATACGCATACCGATAGCGTTCGTTCCTATTGTTTGGTCTTTCAACATCGAAGTGAGGTACAGTCCCTTCTCGTTATAGCAATCATCCGTACAACGATATTCTCGATTGAGCGATTATCTCCAGCCGTTCATCAAATTCCTCATACAACTATCGCTATTTCTCAGCTTCTCGATATATCGCTGCCTCCACAGCCAATTATCGCTATATCGAGTTCGCCATGGCGCCTCCAGAAGCTCGCCGCCGACGCGCAATTACCACTGAGCAGCGCAGAGCTCTTCGTCGCTACGCGCAGCACAACCGCGCTCTCAACCAAGTACAGCTAGCTAGCTGGTTCGAACAGCAGTTTGGCCATCGACCGTCTCAAGTTGCTACTGGCGGCACAATGGCAAAGCATGGATGAAGACTGATATCATGGTTGAGTGGCTGTACTGGTTTGATCAGCAAGTTAGTGGCCGAAAAGTCCTTCTACTAATGGATAACTTTTCAGCTCATACAGCTGCTGTAGAAGCTATCAGATTGATGCCTCTACAAAACACTGTTATCTGCTGGCTTCCGCCAAATGCTACATCAAAGTACCAACCACTTGACCAAGGCATTATACGCGCGTGGAAAGCTCACTACCGTAAGCGCTGGCTATTGTATATGGTTGATCAATTTGAGACTGGTAAAAACCCTCTCAAAACAACCAATGTACTAAAAGCTATTCGCTGGACAATACAAGCATGGCAGACTATTTCAGAAGCTACTATTACTAACTGCTGGTACCACTCAACGCTTATTCCACGGCCCTCTATACAGCAAGAAAGTGTAGAAATCACAGAAGTAACCTCTGAAGTTGGGAGCCTTATAAACCAGCTTCAGCAGCAGCAGCGAATTCAGTCAGCTATGTCAATTGAGAGCTTTCTCAATCCAGCTGAGGAAGCTATTCAAAGCCTTGCAGTAACCGATCGAATAGAGGAGGAGATAGCTGCTCAATTTGATCCACAAGAGGACCATGAATCAGAGGAGGAGCTTGAAGAGCTACCACCTGTATCAATTCGAGCAGCTATCGAAGCTCTGAGCGTACTTCGACTGTACGAGGAGCAGCAGAGCGAAGCTTCAGTGCCAGTTATCGAGCAACTGAGCAAGCACGAGGTAGTGCTACAAGATCGAAGGAATAGAAGCCTTCGTCAAGCGCAGATAACTAGCTACTTCGTATAGCGTATACAATGCCAAGAGCTCTCGATTGAACGATAATCACGATATAACGATACCGAAGCGGTAGATAGGAACAATCTCTATAACGAGAAGGGACTGTACGCTATAGGAGATGATGATCTTCACATGTGTTCTACCCAATGCTTCAAGCCACAAGCACGGCCCAGGTACAGACCCTGGAAATGTGTCTCCGCAGAGTATCGCGCGAACAATCTGCCGAGATTACGAAGAGACACGCATAGCGACATTGCAGTGAGGAGCTGTGAGGTGCATAGTCATTGGAACTACACGATCCGCTCAAAGCTTATATCACAAATTAGACGTTATACAGATTTAACCGAGTCAATGGCCGATAAACTTCAGTACTAGTGTTTTAGCGTGCGGCAAAAAGACCTCTCTTTGGGTACTCGGTGACCTGCGTACCGATCTCAAGTACTATCTCAAAAACCTGGCTCCGATTCAACACAAGTTGCGACGCACGGCGAAGATGATTCAGGGTCGCAATCTCTGCATATTGCATACACTGATGCTAATTTCGCTAAGTTTTGCTGTGCTATATCAAACCTCAGGCACTTTGATAGTGGAGATTATGGCTGCTAGCACCGACGAGGCCAGTGGCGTTGGGAGGTTCAAATGTCAAGGCAAGTCCTCAACGGAGCGAAGATCACGTCCTGTTTGTCTCGTCGTTTGAGAACAGCAGTCATCATCATGAGACCTTCCGCCCTCGTTGTTTTGTTCTCGGTTTTCACCAGCCTCGTCGGTGCCAGCATCGCTGCTAAGGGAGACCAGACTGTGGCGATCTATTATGCTTACAGTCTCGAATGGCTTGCTAAGAACAAGAATCCAAGATATGTGCCCGCTTTCGCTAAGCTATGCCATGAGGATCATGACTGTAGTACATTCGCAAAATTCTTAGAAACGAATATGAGAGGCAAGCCGCTCCAGAAGGCTAAGAATACTCTCATTCTCAGAACTGGCGGGCCTCTCGACACCAACAATCCTGGCGACGAAGCAGCAAAAGCATATTCAGAATCTATTTTAAGCGGAGCCTTCGACAACGAAAAGATGTATGGCCCTGAAACTCCAGTTCAGGAAAAATTTGGCGTGATGGCCACGAGGATTAGCGACATCGTACACCGCGCAAGAATCTCCCTTAACGGTCAAGGACAAGACACAATTGACAAAATCGCCCATCACTTCGAGAAAGTCGTCAAGATCTGAGAATCTGAGCTTTCGCCCGACAAGGTCGCGCAGGTCGAAAGAGCCCATGGTATCAAAGTCCAATTAATGGCAGACAACCCCAACGAAATTGACTGGCTCGCCACATACAAGGCCAATCCCAATCTGGCAAGAGACGAAAAAACCCAGGGCAAAGTAATTGAGACTCTCAACAATTTCGAAAAGGACGTCAAGCAACCACACGAGGCCGCCATTCAAGCAGGTATCGATCTCGTCAAACGACTGGATGCGCCGCTTTCTTGTTGATAGCTGCATGAGGAGCGGCATGTCTCATGAGACCTGTCAGTATCCTTTACCGAGCTGTATCGCCCAGGCAGGTGTTGGACCGATCTTTCTTGCTTGCTGCTTCTTCTCCTACATACCATCAGCCAGGACACCTCTCTGCTTGCTTATTGTGACCGATGAATGTGCTGATGCCGTGGACCGTCCAATTTCCCTGGCCATTTCGTCAAAATCCGAATCTAGCTCTATGGCGCTGGTGAACGTACCTATGTTGAAGGACCACCAATTTTGATAACAGACGACTTGAATGATATGGCGAGACTAACTTCCTACTAGCGAGATGGCGATAGTAAAGGGTGGAGTAGATGTCATTAGGCAAGCATGCACTCAACAGCAGCATCTCATACTGTGGCCTCATTTCAGTTACTCATATGGCGTGGTGGGACTCACCTGGCAATATCACATGCGGCACAGTAGAATGAGGATGTTTGTACGGCCGAGACACGGCCTCACCTGGTTCGAACAATCCACAATGCTCTAGGGCCCTTGGCCTCCAAACACAAGCCTACAGTAGCCGCCAGTGGATTATCAAGTGGTTGCAACGTGGGAATCCAGATCCTCGACTTGAACCGTGAGTATAATTAAAAGCTGCAGCTGCTGTTACGTCTCCTATCGATTCATCCAGAACTTTTTTTACCTTTTGCTGGGAGACGCAGCATCGTGCAACCATCNATGAAGTCTTTCATTCTCACCACCCTGACGGCATGCTCGATCTTTTCAACAGCCTCAGCAAAGCGTGTCCAAACCCTGTTGTCCTCCNNCCTGACAATGCTTTCAAGGGTCGGCAACTATACGCCACTCCATACTACGCTGCCAAAGTTGCAGCCTCAGTTAAGAATATCGCGGATCCAGACCTTGCCAGAAGGGCTGCAATGATTGGAGATGTTGGAACCTTCATGTGGATGTTTGTGTCACTCTTCTGAAAGTCAGAGATGATGTGCTGATTATTCGACTTTACAGCGNATCAGAAAGCAGTTATCCCGACCATAGATGCCATGATCAAAGGCGTTCCATGTACGCACATCATCGGTCTCGTTATCTACGATCTTCCAGGTCGCGACTGTGGCGGAGATGCTTCTGGGGGGGAGTATGAAACTGGAGAACTTGCTCGTTACAAGGCTGAATACATCGACCGTATGTTATGAAGGTTTTCGGCTCGACAGGGATCCAGCTGACACTCTAGCTTTCTAGCTCTCCGAGAAATCTTTCTCGCCAATCCAAACACTGCTATTGCTCTAGCGATAGAGCCCGATTCCCTCCNNCCTAATGCAATCACGTCTTTGATTCACCCAAGATGTGTCGCTTCAGTACAGGAATACAAAGATGGCATCGCCTATGCGCTCAAACAATTCGATCTTCCGAACGTTGTTCAGTACATTGATGCAGGCAACGGAAACTGGTTGGGGTGGGACCCAAATGTTGGTAAGCATTAATTCTCTCTTTATGTTTATATGTGCGGAACCATCTAGGACTCCGACTCTCAGGTTTTCCTACTAATCTTTCAGCTCGGAACTCATCGCTGACAGTCAACAGCACCTGCTGCAAAGGTTATCGCGGATGTCTGGAAAGCAGCCGGAAAGCCAANNAAATCCTGCAAAGGTATTGTAATAAATGTTTCGAACTGGAATGCATGGTCTATGATTCCAGGAGAATTCGAGAATTTCAAAGATGCACAATACAACAAAGCGCAGGATGAGAAGCGATACATCCACATTCTCGGCGAGCAGCTTGCAGCCAACGGTATGCCAAATCACGCCATTGTCGATACCAGCCGCAATGGGCGCGTGGGATTGCGTACCTATGGTGGCAACTGGTGTAATGTGAAGGGCGCCGGGTTTGGAATTCGCCCTACCAGTGAGACAGATGATGATCTGTGCGATGCTTTCGTCTGGGTCAAGGTTGGTGGAGAGAGTGATGGTGGTAGCGATCCTTCACTTCCTGGATACGATCCAACCTGCGCCAATCGTGATGGTAGGTGCAAACATGCAATGGTCTACATCATACTTGTGCTAAAGACTGATATCTTGATTTACANNGCTTTCATTCCCTCCCCTCGAGCCGGAGCGTGGAACCAGGCCCAATTCGAGGAGCGTAAGTGACCTAGAGCCGAATCTTTTCTTCTCCAGCTTCGTCGACTCTCTCCAGGATCAGGCGTTGCAGCTTCTGTTGTTATGCAAAAGCTGACTCACATCCTTTCACAGTGGTTGAAAATATCATTCCGGATGTACTCACAACGGATGGAAGGTGTCATAGCAACATCTTCTGCGGATCGTGGGCTGGGGGTTCCTGCTGTTACAACGGTCAATGTGGTACAATGTGTGATGCATCAGCTGGCTGTAAATCCGGCTGCACTGCTCCACCAACTACTGATGACGACGGCGATGACGATGACGGCGACGATAAAGACTTTCTCCCCGAAGATTACTACGAACCATGCGATCTCCGCCTGACGTTCGACAATCTCGACGATCTCAATGCAGCTGCTGATGGGATGCGTGCAAAGTGCCTTGCAGCTTATACCATGCGCACATTGATCACCATGCTCGACAAGGCATACGACAACTACACTTCGGTCAATGACCACTACGATGAAGAGTTCGGATATTATGTTACATATATCCAAAAGCTCGTACCCAGCGTGCTGGACAAGAGCTTCATGTTTGTCAGGTCCGATAAGAACCTCTATGGCAACATTGACAACCCAGGTCCTGGAATGAGCTGTGAGTCCATCACAATCTGAACAGTAGCTGACAGGCCCGATGCTAATTGCGTTCATCAACCAGATTTCGACTGTCATATTGACGAAAAAGGCAGTAGCACTTTCCCATGCACTAAGGTCAATTCTACTTTGTACAATAGAGACATGTCATACCATAAGACTACCATGACTCTACGAGACGAAGATGGCTACAATCAAGCCTTGGGTAATGCCGGGCTTTCACCTGACTGGGTTGTACTAGGAGACCATGAAGTCGACAAAACCGTCGTGTTGTCTGGTGCTAGCCGCAAATTCCAGTATAAGTTCTCTGGCTACCCCATCGAGAATCCCCACCTTGTTGTGCCCAATCCCAAAGACCTGGTCACCAAAGGTCTTGGTAGCATACCAGAGCTTCGACTATCTATGCAAGCAACATATATGGAGATTGCACTCGGATCTTACATCGGCGGTTCCCCCATGGACGCAGCAGAGGCTTTCAGTACGCCCGTCTTCATGTTGATGCAAGCAGTTGAAAATATGGCTGGAGCAAAGGCCATTGGCACCAAAGAGGAAAAGGCAGAGGATGAGGAAAAGAAAGGCGGCGTAAGGACTTCATTGTTCTCATCGTTAGTGTGGTTTTTATGGTATGTGAGACCCCATGGCAGGCGCTCTTCTTATCACCACATGTGACTTTCACTTACTTCTGGTCTAGTTCGTTCCCGTCGTAGGTGAGGAGGTTGCATTGGCGGCCGGGCTCGCCAATCTTGCACGCTCGATTGCTATTGCTGGCGAGCTGGGTAATACTGCACTTGCGCTTTACGATACTGTGCAAGACCCGAAGTCCGCTATCGTCAATATTATGGGCATGCTGATCGGTGTCGGCTCGATTGCTAAAGTTGAACGCACTGGCAAGGGCATTGGCGATGTCGCCAGGCTAAGGCGTAGAATGACTGCGGACAACGTCGAAGCGTTGGGGTCAGTTTTCAAGAACAATGATGATAAGCTGCAGAGCATTATCAGAGTTTGCAGGCGGTGACTCTAACTTATGGGGGAGGTTGACATACTTTTACGTATGGGGAAGCCGGCCGGATGTGGGAGCCAGCCACTTCAAAGCCTTTGCATACATTCCATGTTGACTTTACAACTTCATATTTATCTTTCTAGTTGGTTATATATATTTCAAGGCTTGATATAACATTGTCTTGTGTCTAGCTTCCACGGTATCCGTAGAGTAACGATACGTTGCGAGATCCACGAAGTACCTTTAGCGACACGATTGTCTCCACTTGATCCAGGTCAAAATTCCTTTAACATTACATCAGTCTTCCAACTTACATACCATATACATCATTCCTTCAACATATCAACCATAAACCTGATTACTTCTCCATAGATAAGGGTTTAGAATAATGACAAAATCTGATTCGATTTGATCTTTCAAGCTACAGTACCAGCAATGGACGGTGCCACAAAATCTTAACAAATTATTGATTTGACAACACACCCCTTTCTGTAGCTTTGCTCAATCATCCCCCTTTTTTTGCTTGTGGTTCTTTGCTTGACAATCCTGACAGGCTGTCCATCAGGATTGCCAACAGAGCGGACGTTACATGGAATCGGTGGAATTTCGGCTCCATGCCATGCCATGCCACTACTTCTAGCTAATATTCCATTCCATGTCAATTATCTAGTGGAATAATGCCAATTCCAACTTCGTCGTCGTCGTCGCAGTCACCCTGTCCTTCTTCTAGGTCACCCTGTCCTTCAACGTCGTCCTCCAGCTCTTCTACCTAATCTTCCGGTCCTTCGTTAGTAGTAATTAGTAGGTCAACCTTGTTAAAACAAAGGTTCTTCTACCAGCTCTTAAGGCACTTAATATAGCCAAGATTGTTAGTAGAGAGGCTTACTCGGTCCCACGACAGTGTCCTTCTACAGCCACTAAACACCCTCTCTAACTTAGTAGACATTAGATTAATTAAGAGGATATTAATAGCCATCTAAGAGAGGTTTAGATAGTTGTGTTGCTGCGTTAGCTTAAGCCACCACTATATAGCATCATTAACGAGTACTAGAGGACTCTTAGTAAACTAGATAAACTCCTTAGGTATAGTAACTAAGTTTATAAACCGTATAGAAGCCTGCCACTTAGCCAGCTAATTCGACTCCTCTTCATTTAATAATGGTGCTATTATGATAGGCTTAGTCTTGTTCTTATATTTAGCAGTCCATAAAGCGCGTATAGCAGTAATAGCTAGTGTTCGCTATAACGGAGGCTAGTGTTATTTAATATAGTTCTCGCAATAAGTTAGATAGAGGAGGAGCGCTGCTATATAGGCAGGAGTATAGTTGTTAATAGCTTACCACTTATTAAGTGCAAATTAGCTAGTTCGGATTACGGTAATAAGGGCTTAGTCGGTAGAAGCATCTTATTATATGTACTTNTTATAGTGCTTACGTAAGAAGTCCATTAATATAAGCACTTAATTAAGAGTTGCGTTATCGCCTTCACATAGCTTTATTACCTCCTATAATGGTTCCATAAAGTTAATAAGCGCTTTAAGGAACTGCTAGTAGCGCCGCTAAAGAGTAGTGTGCTCTATATGCTCGTTAGCCGACTAAATAGCACGTATAGTTGCTCGAGACTAAATCCCTCGCTTAATTATGGCTAGCTAGCTATTCCACCTTATAGTATTATTAAGCATAGGAGATACACTAGTAGCTGCCTTAAACTTACGACGACGGCGAGCTAACCTTATAATCCACTCGAAAAACTAACGGAGGTAGTCGAGAGCTTTATAATTAGTAAGGCTAGTGCCTTAAGCGAGCGTTAAGATAGCTTTTAAGGGATCTTAACTCTAATTAATTATAGCAGCTATAGTGTCTATTAAGCTCGCTAACATGAGTGCTTAACTAGCAAGATTAATCTAGTGTCTAAAGTAGCGAGTTCGATGTTATATAGGGTCCTAATCGATAGATAGACGCTCGCTAAATAGAGTAGTAAGGTGGCTCATTATAGTATCGTTACAAGTGGCATTATTAGAGGTGATATATCCGATCTTCTACTCGATGCTATAGGTAATAATAGTATTAAAGAATAGAGGAGCACATTAAGCACTAGCATAGCTAGCTAACAGCTTATAGAGAGCTAGTAGTGCCTTGCTTAACTTACCGTCTAAGTCGACAAATCGAGCTATAATACTAAGCAGCTTATAGCTACCATAATTAGCTGTCTAAGCATCGCAGGTAAAGTGGATTAATAAACGAGATGTTGTAAGTAGTGCCTTAAGCTGCTCTTAATAGAAGTCGTGCTCCTTCTTGACGTGTTTAGCGACAGTAGAATGACTCTTAATTAAGAGCTTTAAGGCGCTAGGAAGCACCTTATTAAGTAGCGCATAGAGTAGAGGATTACTAGTAGTACGGAAGGGGATGTTACTTAAGGTGATGTAATCGATAAGACGTCGATTTAAGCGAGTTTTGTCGATATCGGTAATAGTATATATTGTCTAAGAGGGTATTGCTACTACTAGCATCTTTAAAAGTGTACTAGTTACCTGTCTCTAGCTATGTCTCTTCTTAAGGTGTAATCTAATGTTATCGTAGTTAGTAGTGTTATAGTTACGAAGACAGTCTCTATTGCTATAGAAGCAGTACTAGATCTTCTTCTTACGCTTACGCTCGCGCTCTCTAGGACGACGAGCTCTAGCATAAGACTAGAGCTCTTTAGAATCGCTACGGGTAGGAGCTAGTTTTCGAGAGCGCTGTATTAACGTACATTTAGAGTCATTAATGTGGTTGCTAGCGGTTGTTAGCGTTAGTCGTCGTCGCTTTAAAGGAGGAAATAATGGCTGGTCGACATTAGAGGCGCTATCGTTAGTCTTAGAGTTATTACCTTTAATAAAGATACTGTCTAATTAACTCTAAGGAGCGAAGAGTCTAGGCCTTAGAGTATTAGAGGCGAATTTAAAGAGGGTACTCTGTTTAGAGGCGTATAGCGGCTGGCTCTAAGATAATCGAGAGTTTAGTTAGCTTTATAGCTCTTATAACTTATGCTCTTAATTAGCTAGTAAATACATGATATAAGGATTATAATTAAAGGTAGATCATATGCTTATAAAGATAGAAAGATGATAAAGAGCTAGGCTCTAATATTAAGTAAGAAGGTGGAGGATAGGATAGTTAATGAATTAAGAGGGAGTAGTTAAGACGCGTCGAAAAGGACGCGCGAGGCTTCGCGTAAGCTAATAAAGGATTAGCCAGTCGGAGCTCGCGATCTAATCTCCGAGATAAGATCTAGCCAATCAGAGAGCTCAGATAGGTTACTAATCGGAAAAGGCGTTATAGCAAGTTTTTAAACGCGACTGCTATGCCTAAGCGTAGCACACTCTAAGCTAAGGCTTACTATTATTAACTATAGCAACACTAGCTATACTAAGTGGTGGAATGGTAGAATATTCCACTTAAATTGACGATTCTATTCCATGCCAACTAGGTGGAATATTCTACCTTAAATCAGTGGAATATTCCAATATTCCACTTATTCCATGCCATTTAACGTCCGCACTAATTGCTAAAAACTTCCAGGTCGAGGACGGGATGACCCTGTCGCTCTTTTCTGCAGCAGTGATTTTATGCCGCTTCCACTCTTCTTTCTCCCTTACTCGATTGTCTTTTTTTAAGTGAGTGACAGACATGCGTCCTCTTGTCTTATAGACAGTATGTCAATAACTTAAGCTAGATAGATGGATGGAGGAATGAAGAAAGCAAGCAGGTTTGGAATTAAACCTCAACGTCGTACAAAAAGCCGTGCAGCTGGGACATAGGGACGCTGGTCTTGTGCCGACTCTGTTTTTCCTTCTGACTCCTGAAGAGATCCTGCCACACCACCTCTGAAGGATGCTTTAATCTCGAGAGAAACAGACCCGACACTGTCTCACATGGAAACAATATTGGATACGCGATGATGACCACCACCACAACCAGCGCCGCCACGTTCTATGGTGTCGCCGAACTCAAAACAAACGTCTTTCTGTACCTGGACGACGACAAATGTTTCGAAGACCTGGCGCGTCACGCGCGTGTACACAGCACATGAACCCGTCCTGCCCTAAAGGACTCGTGGCGTGGATACGNNTCGCGTCAAAGTTGAACTGCAGGAGGTTCAAAAGATTAAGAGAACAAGAAACCGATCGCAGCCATTATGAGAATGCTATGCCTTGACAAGCAAAAACGTGCTTCTCAGCTCGCGGCACTCGAATTGTATCCACCTCGCTATTGGCACAAACTCTTCAAACAGTTCTTTGAATTGGACTTCCCAAAATTAAAGGCACTAACCCTTCGTACCTGTCAAGACGAACCCTTGACGGAACATCACCGACTCTCGGCTTATCTCCAGCGAACTTTAGAGTACATACATCTGGAGGACACGTCTGATGACTCTCATCTCCAGACCAACTTACTTACAGGTCCGTTCTTGACCGATCTTGCGGAGAGGTGTCCAATGTTGAAAAGGGTTAGCTTCTGTGCACCGTGGCTAAAGCTCGATCCTGCCAATCTCGCGCAATTCTTCCGACGCGTCCGACCTTTCGAAGTGATGCTTAACTTTTCGGCAAACGACCTTGAGATGCTGACGTGCGAGGTGTTGTCCTCTCTGTCTCACGGCAGTCATCTCAAGACCTTGATCATCGAGCGGAATGATGAGTACACCACGGACATCAAGGCCGACGTCCTAGAGCGACTGTGCAGTGAAGATGCCGCTGCACCTCTATTTCCAAGTTTAGNNGAGTCATTAAGCATAGACCTCAGCGGTGTAGCGAGTCCTTGGGCCTTACGATGCTTCTCTACTGTGACGTCGTTACGAATTTGCCTACCAGAGACTCGAGGTATAACCGTCCTCGTACCTATCTCGACCATGTTGCAATTGCAGGTACTGGATATCTGTGGAGACAAGGAGATATGTTCCACTATACCGGCAAAGGCCTTGATAGTGTTGTATTCTCTCTCGANNCTCACCACGCTACGGATTGGCAGCTCTTTCAACCCTTGCCACGAGACCAAAGACATGCCAACATACCAACCCGACCTTACCAGAATCACACTCGTCTCAGTCGGCCCTGCTCTGCCTTCTGGCGTGCGTACGACCAGAAGTGATCGTGCATCTTGTCCACGCTGACGACCACGAGAGCTGCTGGATCGACGATGCTGTGGCTCCATTCTTCGCAGTTTCCCACCGTCTTCTATGCTTCTCGGACCGTCTCGTCGATAAGCTTACGGAACGGTGCCACCACGATGGTCACCCCGACGTCTTCTTCTAGACAAGCGGGTGCAGTGAAGAGCAGTGTCTTGCCTCCGGCTGTTGGCAGAATGACGGTGAGAACGTTGAAGCTACCGTCCATGATCCTTTGGAGCGCTTCTCCTTGTGCTTTGGATCGGTATCTGATCGTCACTGCGTCGTCGTCCATTGGTTTCTTAAGAGCTTTGCGTATCGCCCTCTCCTTTTCCTGAGCCGTTGGTTTTCTGTAGCGTTGCAGCCTCTCGCGCCTCCTTCGGCTTCGTTCGATGACTGTCGTCTACATGCCGCTGGCTCTGTTGCTGCTGCAGATGCTGTTGGTAGTTCCTGCCGCCGCTCCTCGGAGAGTACCTGGAATCGTCGCCGTCGTCATCATCGATGTAGATAACTTCGTTGCTGTCGTTCGTGTCGTTGGTATCATCGTTGTAAGAGTCGGACCTGTTTCCCTCCGTCGTCGGGGTCGGCAGTCCGTTGTTCGAGCAGATGCCTAAGCCGACGATCGGAGTCCTGGGCTGCAGCTCCTCTTCTCGAAGTCTCATCAGCTCGAATTCTTGCGCCTTGAGTTTCATCCGCAAATCTTCGATCTCCTTCTGCTGGCTTTCGGATTGTTGTAAGAACGGCGAGAGATCCACTGCGGGACTGGCGGCAACGATAGCCGCGCCTCTCCTTGCTGCTGCTGGTAGTCTCGTGATCATTCTCTCCTTTCTTAACCCCTCGAAGTCGATGGTTTGCATCCTATCTTCTTTCTTGCTGCTCTCGGCCTTTCTCTTCCTTTTCGGATCTCTGTGGTCGAGCTCTAAGAACTCGTGCCAGCCTTCGCTAAGATCACCAAAGACGTCGATCGACTCTTGGTTGAGATACTTCAAGATGTCTGCCCTGCCAGCGTATCTGCCAGCGCCGGCGCCGAAACCGCCGGCTATCTGTAGCTCGATCGCATTGCCCTCCTCGATGTCGTCCTCATTGTCTCCCATTTAGGCTTCCTCTGGATCTTCGGCCTTCTCTCGGTAGCCCCTAGTGAACCTCGGTCCTACGAATCTCCTGCCCAGAAAGACCGCGGCGTGTCTGTAGTTCTGGATATGTAGTTTGGCCTCCGGTCGCTTGGCCGTCTCCCGTCTCATCGTGTCGGTGAGCTTCTGCGTCTCCCACGGGCCGTGCGAATCCGCCCAGATGTAGTCACTCCATCCTTGACCGTACTGCACCTGCACCGACAGCGACTCGGCGAACACCGCACGTGGGTGAGATAGATGACCGCGATCTGCCCCAGTCTCCACGGCAAGAAGCGTGGCACCATCTTGGGCATGTCGAGCATTGCTTGTGACTTGTGGTAGCTCGTCACCGTCATCACTCTGCCGTCCAAGACGAAGACGTTGCGGTGGTTGGCCACTCCGTTGCGGAAGCGCAGACTGGTGATCTCGGTTCCTCTGGCGGGTTGACCGCTTAAGACGTGCACGCAGAACAAGAACAGCTCTCTAAACTTGTCCACCCTTCGGAGATAGTTGGCCACCAGTCTCGACTGCCACTGGTCGCCTCTGCGCATCTTCTTCCCGTGGCTCGAGCCTAGCATCCTCTTTAGCATCCAGTCGAGACCTTGTGCTTCGAGATCCTGGTTCGGATCGGCACCGAAGTACCAACCTCTCTTCTTGACCGTCATGTCGTCGGTGATGCTATCGAGATCTAACACGAAGTGATCTCCCTTGCGGCCTGCCCACATGAGATCTCTCTACATGTAGTCTTCGCAGTCGTCTAGAGCGGAGCGTGCCATGGACTTAAAGTTGTACACTGATAACTCGATGCTGCCGAGAGCGACGCCGGCTCCGTCGTGAGTCCAGTGTAGCTTTCCTTAGGCGTGGAAGTTCTTTGCGATCTTCTTTCCGTACGCTAGCAAGCTCAACATCTCTCCCATCACGCTCATCGACCCATCGGCCAGAAACTCCTTTCGCTGCTCGAGAAAAGCCTCGAATTCGGCCTCTCCTTGGTTTTCGCGGTCGAGTGACGGGAGTAGAGCTTCGGCAGTCACGACCCTCGACACGTACACGAGCCCGGCGATCATGTATGAGTAGTCGTTGCCATCACGCAGCCGAGCGTTGGTCTCGTCGATGCCCATCACCGCCATGAAGTGGATCACAGCGCTGTCGAAGCGATTATTCCACACTTTTTGAACAGCAACACTTTACAAAGCTCGACCATGGCTGGGATCTGTTCATCCTCGACGGATGATGTGTCTCCCTCGAGAACGATCAATCTCCACACCTCCTCTAACGCTCTTTCGAGTTGGTCGTTCCACGGGAAGAGTCTTCGCGCATCGTGCATGTGATCTTGTGCTTGCCGTTGCTGTCTGCCTTGATCGTCCTGCGGATCTGCGTTGGTGTTGTCGTCCTCGTCGTTGCGGTCGTCGTCGTCATCGTCAGTGTCGGTATTTGTGTCGGCGTTGCTGTTTGCATCATCGCTGTCGCTTCCTGCGTCGCTTTCGGTGTTGCTTACGATGTCGTCGTTGTCGCTACTGTTGCCGCTCGACTCGTTGCGAGTGCACCATACTCGTAGACAGTAGCATCCCCGCTCCCCGCTTGCGATATCTGTCTTTCCCCTCTTGTTCTTCTGTCTCTCCCTCTCTCTCTCTCCACTGCTGCTTGCTACGCGTTTTGGCAATGGCGCGCATCAAACACGTCCGCGCTCATACACTGTATCGCTTCGACCCTGGCACTTCAGAATGCGTCAGCCAAGTCTATTAGTGATGACGCCGTGGCCCAGCCTCCACCCCCGCCCCAGCCTCAGCCACAACTGCAGCTGCAGCATTCGCAACCTTTGGTTTCTGCTGCTGCTGCTGCTGAGAATGTGCCGCCGCCTGCAAGTCTTGAGATGATGCTTAGTTCAAACACATTGACTGCATCGCAACAACAAAAGCGGTCCGGTCAATCGCTCTACAGCCGAGCTGAAGCGGGAGATGTTAATGCCCGACTCCAAACGATGTCTCCTGACGAAGTCGAGACTGAGCTACGTGCACGGAAATTGCAAGACAAAGCGAACGTATCGCTATGGGGCTATCTTAACAATCCTGGTGAAAACGTCTCACCCATACAAGCTGCAAGCGAAATTTTGTCTGCTTCTGCCGATGTAGCTGAAAATGCTAGTGTTGATGCGGCGTACGTGTGGCGGTGGGTGCAGATCAACAGCCTGTGAAACACCCATCCCGATCCTAGCATGCGGAGTGAAAAAGCCTTTCTAGCCAACGTTGGTAATGGCGATATCGTCCGGGTTATGGTCGTCGTTGGTTCATCAGCGCAGTGGACCAAGAAAACGCATTTTGATTGGATTGCAAAGCACTGGGGCGAAGATTGGTATGACCAGATTCCTGTAATTATACGACCTGTTAAGTCGGTGAAAGATCTCTTGAAACGACTAACGACCTATATTGCCATTACCTGCGCCAATGTGCCAGACATTGCAGAAGCTATTGCCGGCTGGCAAGCTGCAATTGACAAAGGGTCGACCCCACCCAGCGTAAACCTGGCACGCGTCAGAAAAAGACCTCGAAATTGGTGCTTGATGATTTCAAGTCGTACAATGAGAGCGTAAACGCCTATGCAACCGGCGTCAAACAAGATCGTCTTGAGATGAAGCCACTGGTCCCAGCAGTTCCAAAGTCCACACTGGCTGTCTTGAATAAGAGAAAGCTTGCGGCACAACATGAGACTGTTACTAGTGGGGAACCAGATCCTAGAAGACAGAAGCAACATGGCGAGAACAACGAAGCTGTTGTTGTTGTTGAGTCTGATAGTGAATCTGATAACTCTGATGATACTAGTGCTGAACCTTTGGTGATACATCAGACTGGTGATCATCGCATGAAGAAAGTTCGTGGACATCGCATAATAGAGCCTGTCACACCGCCTCGTGGTTCTCCTGCTGCCGGGCTATCCCAGCTTTTGGATGACATACCATTAAGCAGTCTAGACCCGGAAGCATCGCGCTTGTGGCAAACGAACTCTGATGCGGCAGCCTGCGATGGGCCTGAATTTGCACGGTTGTTTGCCAAATTTACAGAAATTTACGAGTACTTTGAGAAGCATGGCACCTCGTCTAGTCACCTGGTTCACAACTGTTGCGACTCTTGTCGTGGCTTTGCTTTGCGGGCATTGGCATGTTTGAAAGCAGACCTTGTTCCTGCTGTCGCTGGCCTTGAAGAAGTCAGACAGCACAAATTTAGCGAGCGGAAAGTGATTCCTAGCCAAGTCCAAGACAAGTCGGCTGGTCAGCATTCTTCTCACAAGCGCGCATCCAACCAATTGCTCCGAGTGGTTCATGATTCTTCAGATGAAGATAATGAAGAAATAACTATATACAGTGGTGCGCCAGAAGTTTCGCAAAGCCACCTGCTTGGCGGCTTTCCGCGCGCCCACCCCCTTCAGTTGAATCGAATGCGCGCGATCAACGAACAATAGAAATACCATACAAATTAGATCAGATTGATCTCCATATCATATAGAATATCTGGTTAATTGGGCGGATCAAAATTGGGTCAATATCGCGTGTACTACCCCCTTGCTTTGTAAACGGCTTCGAGTCGCTCCGGCATTGATGCCACACAGTTATATGCTATTTTGTCGCGAATTGTGCTCCATGCATGTACCAATGCATCTTCCATACGCTCAGCTATTGCCTCTTCTCCTCCTTTCCATAGTTCAACGTCTGGATAGAGCTGGTATAGCGCTTCTTTGAGCAGTGGCCAGAGGTGCTCGATTGGATTCAGATCTGGACTGTATGGCGGCCAGTATTTGAGTACGTGTATGCCGTGTTTTTCAAACCAGCTTTTAGCAAGTTCAGAGGTATGAATTCGAGCGCCGTCTTGCTGGAATATGCTGTTTACCTGTAGAATAGGCAATAAATCATCCTCTAGTACTTGTATATAACTAGAAGAGGTATACCCTTGTTTTTTAGCCCTTATATCACGCCTCAAAATCAATAGCTCGCTCAAACCAGCTGTTGAGATAGCTGCACATACCATTACACGTATATCCTTGCTCTTATTATAGTTTGTAACTTTATTACGATCAAACTGCTGTTCAGCAGAGCGGAATACGTATCGGCGCATATGAAAGGATCCACGCTCCACAGAACACTCGTCAGAAAACAGAACTCTCATCCATTGAGAAAGAGGCCAGTGTCGAAGCCGTTTGATGGTGTTTACGCGATCTAGCTGCTTCGCTGGCCCTAAGCTGCATGAGCCACCAACGTCCCTCTTCGATCCATTTCATATCTGCGTTATCTGCTCTTTCCAATGGAAGTCTGCACGAGTGATTTGCTTGTTGTACTAATAACAATTCTGTGTCGGTGTCTTCGAGGAGAATTCTATCTCAAGTCTCATAAGATGGTTTCTGCGTTTCCGGAACGTGCTGCAAGAAACTCGTTCCACGGAAGCATACCTCATCGTATGTCCGCTCGAAAGAGAGCCTTGCTGATAGGCAGTCCTTTTGGAGGGCTTCGCGGGCCTTCGAACGATTTCGAGCTTATGGCAACTGTTCTCGAAGGACAAGGCTTCGAGAACAACAAGTGTCATGGCTCTCAGGCTACCAGTGAGAATATTCGAGTGGAGTGGGGTCACCTTATCGATCAGAGCAATGCCGGCGATGCTGTGGTCATTCATTATCCTGGTCATGGTGTTATCACAGATTGCAGACGAGGTACGCTGGCTGGGAATGGCGACCACAATGACTCGATGCCATGGCGCTACCAGTTCATCGTCCCGATGGACTTCGACCAGGAAAGTGGAAGACGAGACTTCCGTGGCATACTGGATGTCGAGTTGTCACAACTGCTCAGGGTTGCCACAGAGAAGACTAAGAACGTCACACTGATTCTAGGTTGTTGTCACTCTGCTCGCATGGCATGCCAGCCAGGCCACGGGGACCGAGCAAGATTCAAGAGTCTTCCGCGTGTCTGTCATCGTGACATTTACGACTACATCGAGCAGTGTCGAAATCAAGGCCGGCTACTGGAAGAGACACATCTAGAGGAAAACCCGGATGGAGGCCATGCTCAAACCATGGAAGGGATGTTGCAAGATGCTGTGTATGATAGCTTCTTTGCCTTCCATGTAGTCGATTATCCTGCTGAGCGCGTCCGCTCGGCCGTTGTCTTGCCAGGCGTGTACTAGATTTCGAATTCTTATTGTCCGAGGAGTTGCGACCATTCTACTTGTCTACGGTTAAGAACTTTGGTGGTTGTGAAAGTCAAGAGGTTCTTATGATCCGTAAGAATAGTGAGAGACGGGGCTCCTTCGGTATGAACTCTCGATTGTTGTAAGGCTGCGACCATGGGGGGAAGTTCTCTGTCATGGATGTCGTAATACTGTTCTGCCGGTGTCATCTTACGCGAGTAGTAAGCCACGGGGTATCGTTTCCCTTCCTGATCTTGCGTAAGGCATGCTCTAATCGCTCGGTCGGATGCAACAGTCTCTATTTGGACTGACTTTCCTAAGTCAAACATTCTCAGAGTAGGCCCGTCGACGCATGCCTGTTTGAGTGCTTCGAAAGCTTTCTGTTGCCTTTCCTTCCATGTAAATGGAGTATCTTGCTTCGTGAGTTCCACGAGCGGTAACGCTGTCTGGGAGTAACCTGCTATGAACTTTTGTATAGCTATGAAGCTCATAGTCCAGAAACTAGCAGTTCAGATCGTCGAGTTCGTCCAAATCATCAAGTTCAGCACTGTGGCAAATTCTCATGACTTCTGGACACGAGAATATCGTTTACGGGGTGATCACTCCGGCAAGATCCCTCGCTTGACGTCCCTCGCTCGACGTCCCTCGCTCGACGTCCCTCGCTCGACGTCCCTCGCTCGACGTCCCTCGCTCGACGTCCTTCGCTCGACGTCCCTCGCTTGACATCCCTACATACTTAAGAGCAATGCTCGCACATAGGATTATGCAAACTCACCTCATCGAAGACCAGCTTGCAGCGACTCATACCTAACTAGCCGCGTGAGACACAGATCGCTCTAGATACCTGCTTCCTGTGCTCATCAAAAGCTCACTTTACTCCCTACCTTCGACATGAAATTCGCCGTATCGCCTGCCGTTCTAGTACTGCTACTTAGCGCTCTCGGCATGGCAGCTCCAATCGAAAGCAGCCAGGTGAGCGATCAAGCTATCTCAGCAGTAGACATAGTCTCTAATTATAAGCAGGACATGCGCCGTGATCCGAACGGAGTCCTGCATCTTGGGGCTGACGGTGTTCTGCGTTCACTCAACGCCGACCGCACCGCCGTGCTGGACTACCGCCGCCTGTCGCCCGAGGAGGCACAGAACTTTGCGTCTGGCTTCGACCAAGCCACTGTGGATGCGCTTGCTGGCGTCGATGGTCGCGATGTTATCGATGTTGAACAGCTCTGGGCTGTCCCATCTGTGAACACAGTAATGGCAGACTCATCAAGCAAGACGCCTGTCAAACGAGCGGAATTGCTTTTCAAGCGCGCCAGCTGTAGAGATTACAGCTGCAACGTTCCTTCGCAATGCCCACAAGGAGGCGCAGGAGATCCGTACTGTCCCGACTGCGTTACAGGTTTCACCGTAGGGTCGAGGAACTATTGTGCGAACATATGAGCGTCAAGGATCAGACTTTGCTTTGAGTGGTCATTGCTGTCGTAGTCAATGCAAGCTATGGTTCCTTTGCACTGACATTCACATCGATGACCCAGGCCGTTTTTCTGGCGGTGGACGGGATGTATCTAGCTCGAAAGTGGGCCTTCAACACCATACGACGGAGCGATCATGCGTAGTATTCCAACACACTCGCATCTTGGCTATCTAGGTTTCGATGTTTTATTTTACTATGTTATATGCAACTTTCATGAAACACATCTGGTGTCGACGCCACAGTTCCTCTTCGAACAAGCCCGACTCAAACGTTGTTTGGGCATATACCCCTTATCTGACATCTATTGCAGCCAACATTTCGATACATGGTAGCAGACGCACACTTGGCTTATCTGCTCAAGATTGCAAAGTCTGCCCGCCTCATCGAACGAGGAATTCGAGTTGTGAGGGATTTATGGCACCCACATGTGACATATCGTGCTACTCTGCGTTGAATTTTGCTGAGTTGAGAGTCGTAGCTACATTACTTACGCAGCAGATAGCGCAGACGCGAAGTCAAACTGCATAGAATTGAGGATCTTAGACATGATTGCAGATGACACCCTCAAGGCTTGAGGGAGTGAAGATTGCATGGATTTCAGACTCAAGCATCACTTCCATGATATCCGTAACCTTGACTGGACAAGGGGGCCAGCTTGCAACCGATGCGCAGAGTTTCGGAAGTGACTCCTCTCGATAACCAAGGACGCATCACTCGCACAATCATCGCATGGCCTTCGCTTCCGTGAAGACCATACATTTACCTCCGTTGGTAGGCTGTTGGGTTATGTCTGGTTTGATCATACTACATTATTCTCTCCCATGAAAGTTCCACACTCGAAGTGGTTTGATACAAGCACTGTCCCCTTCGTATCTGATGATTGCACTGGATTACTGCAGATAGCCACCCTGTCGTATCGTGTTGAACACCCACTCCCGAATCACCTCCGTCTCCAATTCTCCTTTTGGGTATTGGGGATGGAATACTACAACTGGCACTTCCAAAGAGCAATTCAGCTCATTTGGCAGGCTTGTAAAACAATGACTCGTCTGCTACAGACTTGACGGATGGGACAGCCCAGAGCTGTTCAACATCGATAACATCGCGACCATCGACGCCAGCAAGCGCATCCACAGTGGCTTGGTCGAAGCCAGACGCAAAGTTCTGTGCCTCCTCGGGCGACAGGCGGCGGTAGTCCAGCACGGCGGTGCGGTCGGCGTTGAGTGAACGCAGAACACCGTCAGCCCCAAGATGCGAGACTCCGTTCGGATCGCGGCGCCAAGGTGGATGTACGTCGGCATGTGTTCCAGTTACTTTCATATCGAGAACAGCCAACCGCTCTGCAACGTCAGTAATCACTGTTTTCACAGATGGGACAGCCCAGAGCTGTTCAACATCGATAACATCGCGACCATCGACGCCAGCAAGCGCATCCACAGTGGCTTGGTCGAAGCTAGAAGTAAGCTCATTTATCTCCCCGGGCGACAGGCGGCGGTAGTCCAGCACGGCGGTGCGGTCGGCGTTGAGTGAACGCAGAACACCGTCAGCCCCAAGATGCAGGACTCCGTTTGGATCGAGACGTATTAAGGGGCGCTTAACAGTACCCGTTTTAGCCTACTTGAGATTAGGTACTATGTCTACTGCTGAGATAGCTTGATCGCTCACCTGGCTGCTTTCGATTGGAGCTGCCATGCCGAGAGCGCTAAGTAGCAGTACTAGAACGGCGAATGGTAGAACAACTTCCGTGTCGGAGGTAGGGAGGAAAGTGAGCTTTTGATGAGCACAGGAAGCAGGTATCTAGAGCGATCTGTGTCTCACGCGGCTAGTTAGGTATGAGTCGCTGCAAGCTGGTCTTCGATGAGGTGAGTTTGCATAATCCTATGTGCGAGCATTGCTCTTAAGTATGTTACAGGTACCTCAGTCGTTTCGCGAACCCTCTACACTTTTTAATTTAGCCATGCTCGCGACATTTAGCCACATGAAGGGTGAATCCTTCGCGACAACATCCAATTAAAGCCAGCTTTCTTACCCCGCTCTACGTACATTTACGATCATCCGCCATTCCGATCAAGGTGTTTGGTTCGCAAGACTACTGCGCACTATCGCAAATTCCGCCACTGTACCAAAAATGCACTGGATCAGCATTACAACAAAGGCTAAAGCTATGCTGTACCAATCACATGGACACTGCAATCGTGTAGGGAATCTCCATCAAGCGGTCGCCCATTTGTTGAGATAGTAGCCCATTCGAAATCATGAAGTGGACGGACGAGCACGCAGCCTGACTGTTAGAATGACACTTTAGCCTGGGTTGCATCTCCACAAGAACCATTCCACCGCATTGCCTAGAGCTGCATGTGACACCAAAGTGACTCACCTCTACGGTCCAATCGGGAGGCTTTGCAAGACAGTGCACGGACAGAGATCGCGCAAACCATTCAACACGGTACACGTTGTTGAATCTCACCCTCCTTCTTTGTCTTGGAAACAACTACACGGCTCCAATCATTGGACGCTTGCAGGCAGCTGGACTTTGCGCACGAGATCCCAAACCCACGTGGACGGACCGTACAAGCGTACGAGGATGGCCGTACGCTCGAGTCAATCGCCAATCGATTTTACCACGGTCCAACAACTATATCTCTTACGATCTACGGTAAGTCACACCACAACGAAGGCGTCGAACTGCCTCGAGCTGGATGCCCACGTGGATCTGGACTCCAAGAAATTATTTGCCGCCTTACGCCTTACAGGCAAGGGCTGCTTAACGATCGAGATGAGGCCCACTGACAGCTGTGCTTAATACGATCGATATTGCCGTTCTTGGACTACTTCTTGAAGACCCGATGGCAGCTCCAGTGTTCCATGTTCAGGGTTCTCGCTTCTTGCTGTTTGAATTGTCACCTTGTCGACTACGTATGTGACTTCATTATATCTCTCGAATGCGGATTTTAATACAGACTTTAGGTGGCATCTCCGACCACGATTCGTTGTTGTTGCTGAATGTGTCAAAGGGTTTGTGGGTGTCTACACGGGGTCTTTCTGATCACATACTTCACCATATCTCCTTTGCTTCCTCCGTTGTGGCCTGAAACTTGTGGGTTTTCACTTTCCGTCTGCGAACGAACTATCTGGATGGAGGATATGTATCACCACCACTTGTCAAGCATATTCTTACCTGGATGTCGGTCGGAGAGGTATGTGTCTCACATCACAACACTTTGATCTTCTGCAGATATTCTAAGCTTAGCCCGACCCCCAGCGGCGACATTGAGCCGAGCGAATGTATATGGGCCAGATGTCTGATGGTGACTTGAACGGCTGAGGATTGTGACCTCCAAATCGCTGTTTGCAGTGTGTTTGCGTAGCCTTTACGACTTTGTCAGGTTTTCGATCCCGACTCGCGGCTTTGGCCACTATACTCCCGAGAGGCACGATTACCTTCTCGTATAATAACGGACTATACCCGACTACTATTAACTTAGTCCTAGTGTTACTAGGACTATAGGCGGCTATAATCTAGTATAAAACCTCTAATATAGACTACGGAGGCGACTATAGGGTTATAGAGGCCCGCTTCTAGATGCCCTAGGAGATTAGGAAAACGAGGAGACTTAGGAGAAATTACGATAAAGTAGACTAGGGAGACATCTATAAGGTAGTTAGTATTATACCTCGACCTTAGTAGATTTCGACGAAAGAGTAGCTTAATAACGAGGCCGAGAGGTTTATTAAAGCGATTACCTAGATAGTCGTAGATAAGATCCTATACGCTAAACCTTACCTAAACGTAATAAGGTAGTAGACACTATCCCTTACGGCACTCCGGCTTACACTCTTATCTCTACGGAACTAGGAGATAGAAAGGAGAAGGAGAGATTTAAACTATAGGGACTTACATTAATAGATCTACGTAGTCCGAAAAGATTACCTCTTATAAATAGTAAGTTAGAAGGCTACCTACTAGAGGAAGTTTATAGATAGCCTAGAGAACGTATAGAAGGCTAATAGGTACACTTATATAGACCTAGGATCTAGGGGTGTTCCTACGCTATAAGGAACCTAAGGGCCGATCGACGACGACGAAGGAAAAGTAATAGCACTCCTCTAAGCCTTTTTCCTACTATAACCGGAGCCCGAAGGGAAGAGCCTAGAAGGCGTAGAGGCTCCCTTACCTACGAGCATATATAAAGAGATTATAGAGAGCGAAGTCCGCGCGGCGATCTTCCGATTAAGTCCGAAAAAGGCACTAGGGCTAGATAATATACCGTTCCTAGTCTAGTAGAAAGTATAGGATAAGGTAAAGGGTAGTATAATAGCCCTATATAAGGTATCGCTACGTCTAAGCTATCTTCTAGATAGCTAGAGAACGGCGAGGATAGTCCCTCTACGAAAACCTAGAAAACCCGATTATATAGTGCTAAAGGCTTTCCGGCCTATCTTACTACTAGCTACGATTAGTAAAGGCCTCGAGGCGGTAGTCGCGAATAGACTCGCCTACCTAGTAGAGAGATATAACCTTCTTCTAGATAAATATTTCGGAGCTAGGAAGAAGAGATCGTATAAGTAAGCGATTAACGTTCTCGTAAAACGCGTATACGAGGCCTAGAGAAATAGGAAGGTCGTGTCTCTAGTAACCTTCGACGTCTAAGGGGCGTTTAACGGGGTTAACCCTAGAGTGCTTAAAGTAAGGCTCGAATAGAGAGGAATACCCGATACCCTAAGTAGCTAGGTTAGAGACTTCTATAAAGAAAGGACGGCTACGGTCGCCCTTAAAGCGTTCGAAAGTAAAAGATAGCCGATCGCTTAAGCTAGCATTCCGTAGGGGTTACCGCTATCCCCTATACTTTATATCTTCTATAACGCTAATCTTATTAGGTAACCTATCGATAAGATAAAGGGAGCCCTAGGGTTCGTTAATAACTACTCTCTATAGGTTATAGGAGATAACGTAGACGAAAATATCTAGACCCTCTAAACGATAGTTATTATAAAGACTAAGAGGTAGGCGAGAGAAAGTAGAGCGACGTTCGAACCGTTAAAGATAGGCCTTATCCACTTTATCTAAAGGGTAGAAGAGGGCTAGTAAAACGGACCGGACCTATAGTTCTAAGGCTAAGACATCGAACTAAGTAAGCATATTAAGCTATTAGGGGTTACCTTAGACTATAAGATGAAATTCTATTAACATATAGTAAGGATAACGGCTAAAGCTATAAAGTAGTGCCTTACTATTAAACGACTACGAGGAGTTAGGCCTAAATAAGTTAGATAGCTATATAATGCGACGGTTACCCCGATTATAGACTACTACGCTTCTATATAGTACGGACCTAAAAAGTAGGGGAATAACCTCGCTACTCCGCGATATAGAAAGGTGTAGCGTATTAGAGCCTAGGCGATAATACTCTCGTTTAAGGCTATAGCCCTTATAGTGGCTTAAGCCGAAGCAGGTATCGAAACTATAGTCGACCGGCTATAAAGGAAGGTTACTAACTATTTAGTTAGGAGCCTTATAGTACTAAACATAAATCCTTTATTCGACTACCTAACTAGGCTATTTACCTAAGGTAAGAGCTTCCTATCTCCGCTAGCTATTACCGCGCGGAAGTTTAGCCCGGATCTAGGCCTAACGGCCGAGAGCCTAATAGAGACCGTAGAGCTAGTGCTTTAAGAACCGTAGATAGAGGGCGTCCCGGGATGCCTAGTTAAGGGACTAGAAGACGAGGCGGATATAGTTATTCGACGACTACGATCGAAAGTAGGTAGGGAAGAGAGACATACATTCTATACTAACGTAGTACGGAAGAGCGGTAAGAGTAGCATTATAGTAGTATAAGGGAACACTAGAAAGACTATTACCTAAAAGCGACTTCCTAAATAGGTAGTAGGCGACTCGATAGTTATAGAACTTATAGCCATCGAGGTAGCGCTAGCATATTAAACGAGGAGAAGACTACGCCCGATAAAGACGATTATCGCGATAGATAGTAAGTAAGCTATCCGACATATTATAGAGGGGGTAAGCCTATACGGATAATACGTAGTATAATACATCCGTAAGCACATCGATGCTCTTTAGGCCTAGGAAGGGGTAACGGTTACCTTATAGTAGGTACCGGCCTATAAGGGGTGGTACGGTAACGAGTAGGTAGATAAGAAGGCGAAAAAGGCACTAGAGGAGGGACGGGGAGAGGGGGAAGGCCCTACTACGTAACCCGTAGGTCCTACTAACCCTCTAGCCTCTTTAGATCTTTAGACATTTCCGGACCCCCTAACACCTACTAACCCCCTAACGTCTCCGGACGTACGCGACCGTAGTATAGTAAAGTCGAGAATATACTAATAACGCTATATAGGAGTTACGAAGAAGATAGTCTTAAGGGTAGCTAAGAAGACACTTTAAAAGAAGCTAGACGAGACCTGGAAACAGGCTAGGAATACAAGGCCTTAAGACACGCTATATACTAGATTATATACGTAGAAGCTAGACGGAGCCCTTCTAGGCTTCTATATAGCGATAGTGTATAATGTATTATCTACGGAGAAGGCGTCGATACTCGCCTAATGCCGGATAGGGCACTCCCGACTAAAGAGTAACCTATGCCGGATAAAACTAGTAGACTTAGTAAGGTACGAATACGGAGCCACGCGAGAAAGTGTTAAGCACGTTATATACGAATACCCCCTCC